AAAAAAAAAAACGGTAACCTGGTTGCCGAGTTCACGAAGTGAATTGGCTTGCTTTACAACGTCGTTGCCAAGCGACGAAAACCCAACCCCGATGGCAAACACCGAGGGGGAGAGGATTCACCAAGCACGAAGCGCCGTGAGAGCACGAGGGAGCGCCCAAAATAAGCAGCGCACCGCCAAGATAGTTCAGAAAAGGGCAACAGCAGCAGACAAACCAGCCATACAAACTAACAACTGCGTGTGTGTGTCTTCTTTTCCGGGTTTGGGGACAACATATCGACAACGGCAACTACACGTTTCAACCACATGGAACAAGGAACATCTCCACAACACAAGCGCGAACACCTGCCCCGCCTATCATACTGCTGCCAAGCACCACCGCATGACTGAGAAACCTGGTGGTGCGTGGATCTACTTGAAAAACGAACAAATGAAGCTGTCATTACAACGCAAACTATCCTAGACCCTTGATCTATGTATAAAGATGGGTTCGTTGTGTTATTAGTTCGAAACATAACGAAAAAATCGATACTCCGATTGGGTATATTTTACCAGACACGGTACCTTTAAGTGCTTCGTGGCAACAACGTTGTTGACGTGAGGCGCCCGCCACGCCACGCACCTGTACCCGTGGCCATGCTGGTCGACGGCGATCACGGCGTACCCATCGGCCGCCATGCCCTCCGCGAATTCCCGGAAGGTGGGGCCGCTGATGTGGGCAGCGTAGCCGTGGTACCAAAACAACAGGGCCTTCATCTCGACGCCTGAGATACCAAGTGCCAAAAAAAAACACACACACACACACGGTCCAGGCTGAGATTGTCTCGTCGTTTGACCTGGAACCAAATATCCCATTTCAACTTTAGGTGCCGTTCCAAATTCGAGGGCCGTGAAGAGAGATTTCGTCTCAACGCATACAACAAGTTCGGTGGGCACATTATCTCAAGAAACTCTGCAGAATTAATTTTCCCCGTGGCGACGGAGAGACAGGTGAGTGAAGTCGGGTGAACTGACTCTCATGGTCGACGTCAAAAAAAAAAAAAAAATGAGTGGGATCCCTGCCTACATCGGATATCAAACGCTACTTTCTCCTTACCGCTCTCGGGAAGGAACGTGCGCAGGTGCAGCCGCTGCTTCCTGGAGTTGATGAAAAAATTGTCTCCCTTCGGAAGGTTAAAGTCCAGAGCCGTCTTCCGCCGGGTTGATGTCGACGACGGTGGTGTGGTGGTGGCGATCTTTGGCTTTCCTCCATCGGCAACGGTGCGCATCTCGGGAAGGGAGCCGCAGCGTAGTTCTGCCAGGCGCAACTAGGTGGACTGGGGTCGCCGCCCCCCGTTGGTGAAATATACAACTTCTGGGTGAGAAGGGGGACAGCAGGCAGGAATCAACAAATCAGGAGTGTTGAGGGCGTCGGTGGGTGTGGAAGGTCGAAGATGAGGTTGAGTCGATTACAAAGCAGATGTCAACGAACTCGAAAGCGAGGTGCTCGATTGACTCCGGACACCGTCACTACAGCAGCGGCAGCTAACAACCCCAGAGAGGAATGCTTATCGCGATGCTATCCACCGCCACCAACCGCCGTCTGTGCCTGCTGCAGCTCAACGAGGTCGCTACAGCAGTAGTCACTTGAGATACAGTTGTACGGGTCCGTACATAAGAAACGTCGAGGCTCAGTTTTTATTTCATCGCTACAGGGCTGAAAATAGAACATTCCAGTAGTACTTTCGAGTTTCGTGTAGGATCCAACGCTGAAATATTTCTTGTCGACCATTTTCTTGATTTGTCGTCAAATTTTGAGCCGCTGTTTCTCAACGAAAAAAAACTTAACTGCGGGCCCGTATTGCCGTACACTGCACACAACACGCAACATCACGCCCACAGCAGCGGTACCCTAGATGTGTGTATTCAAAAGAAGAAAGAGAACGAACGTGTGAATGCATACAGCGGTGAACCCCCGTGCAATATCTCATAAGGTCTCCGTTCCTCATGCGAAACGCCAATTTGGTCAAATTTCGTTCTTGTTTTTTTGTTTTGAATATCATTTTCTTCGTGTAGCAGTCGGGTTTTGAAAATCGGCGCCGGGGGTGTGGTATCTTGTGTCATGTCACCGACGCCAACGGTATCGCCATGGCGGCCCCCCGCGTGACACAGGTCGCTGGGTAGATACGCAATTTCTTGCGCAAGTCTCGCTTTGTCCAGAACAACAAGGCCGAAAAAAAAAAACGGGAGGCATGATTCTCTAAATATTTTCCTTGGTACTGCTGTACAGTCAGTCTGCCAACCAACAAATGCCGATGTTGACGTTGCTAGGTATCTATCGTCCGGCAAGCCCAGCAAAAAATAACTACGCACTTTGGAGACACGACCATTAATCTACAACTTCAGACCGCGCTCCCCACGTATCCATAGAAGAACCTCTTATATCCTGTTATAGAAGTAAGAAACTCTTATATGAGAACCTCTTCTTGCCCTAGTCTAAGGCTCGTTCTTTATCTTGCCATCGTGTCTATGGGCACGGCTGTACCCCCTCGGCGACCATAGTATCGTAGGTCTCTCTTGGTTTGTCCTTCCAAGCAAGTACATCAGCTTTTTGACTGAGCATCAGGTGTTCTGATGGCCCGGTTCGATTTTACATTATTTAGGCTCACTTTTCGTGACTTCCAAGTTCGTACATGAGTGCGGGAGCACGATGAACTGCCGCTGTGGAATACTTCAAATGGTGTGCGTACAGGTGTGCGTGTTAGCGTGGATCCCTCGCATCTCACGTCTGTTGTGGGAATCTGGGTGCCTGCTGACCTGTGTGCAGCGTTTCGTTGATACAACAATGGATAGCGGTTTCGTTCGTTCCAACAATATCGCACACTACCCGTAAGGTTGCGAGTCAGCTAGAGCACAGGGGTGCGATCGATTTTCAAAGCGCAATCTCTCCACAACCAGGAGGGTGCGAGCGCCAACTGATACTTGTCAGGAAAGCTCTCGATGAGATGTCTACAGAAACCGCCCTGTTCGACAGCAGTGGTAACCTCCTGGCTGTGGAGAAGTGACGCTTTGAAATCGTTCGTACACCTGTGCGCTTACTCGCAACCGTACGGTACACTAGCAGTGGTGGTCTACGCAGGATACACCTCATCATGCAGAACAATACGCAAAAGCTTCCATGTTTAAGCAAAGGACTCGGATCACGCTAGCAGGCAGGCCTACGCATACGTGTTCTCCCCGATTCCGCATATTGGATAAGGTAGCACAGAAGGTTTCCGTGCGACATCTATGCACGCCATTGCTGCGGCCATCCTCTCTTGTACAACTGCCGGGCCGTTGCATCCCAATTGCGGGGGAATTACTGATTGACTATGGACTATCCTATACACCTCGGCATTTCCTTCGATGTTTTGTCGAGAAGAAAAAGGGAAGCGAAAAGAAACGGTGCGGCTACCTGTGCGGCACCAACGCATGGCATGGCATCATCGCGCATCTGCGATGCCGGCTACAATTGTTGTGCCCATCGCGCCCGTCCGTATGCGCTGAACGGTCGCTGAGTTAACGAGCGACCAGCAGCCAAGAGAGCCGAAAGGTTGCCCGCCGTAGTAAGGTCACAGCTGTGCTGCACACGTGTTTGGCTGGAAGATGATGATGATTATGATTGCCATGTTGGTTTGGCAGAGGTCACGCCTGCCGCCCGCTCATCGCGGCAGAGTACAGGCACAGCAGTAGAAAAAGGCTGTGTCTTTCAATCTACACAGAGAGAGAGAGAGAGAGAGAAAGATTGCTGCGATCCTGTTGATACCAGCATGCCTGACTTGCGAAAGCTCTCACCGCTGTACTGGTCGTGGTGGTGGGCCTCGAGATGTGTTCCTGCCCCGGCTTTATCATGTGTGCTACAAGCGACGGCCCACACAAGCTGCCAGCAGAGCATGGGGGGTACGCAAATTTCGTTCATGTAGATACTTACCCTATCATGCCCCTACAAATGGATTCCCCAGTACTTGTTGCGAGTTTCCGTGCACGTTAAAAACGCCTCCAGAACCATCCTTTACATAACCTATACGGAACCTTTGCAGAACAACCCAGAACAATGAGAACCTATTTTGAAATCCCCACGGCCCGCAGAACACACCACCGCGCACCGCACGCACCGGCGACGGCTCTGATGGCCACACAGGAGACTCACACGCAAGATGCCGTATGGATATCGTTCTTGCAGACGCGGTTGCATCACATGGCACCGGAATCACCGCAGGCGCCTCTGTGGAAGGTAAGTGAGGGCAGTCAGCAGACCGTTAGATTCTGCATGCGTTGGTTTTGCACCTCGGGGCTCGCGACGTCCACGGCCGATATGCTGTCGTTGTCGTTCGGCCGTGAAAGAGTCGATACCGAGTACTCCTGTTGGTCGTTGTGCATGTTGTTCTTCCTCCAAATTTGTTTTAATTTCCGTCAAGCTCTGTCTGAAGTTTATGTGTGGATCCACAGCAGCAGGGATGTGTGTACGGCAAACCGGACAACCGCAGTGAGTGGATGCGCTGCAGAATTTCCGTATCGCAGTGTAACCGCAGTGTGACCGTGAGGCGATGTGATGTCCAATCGGTGCTCTATACCTACAGCAGTTATGACTTTTTTATTCGCTGGCAGGAGATGACGGCGGCGCTCTCCAGGAAGACTCGCCGAAGCTCGTGGCTTGTTGCTTTCCGGAAGACGAGGAGATTGCAGACAGGGCTAAGGCGAATGAGTTGGCCACGGCACCCGTGAAAGCTGCGCTACAGGATAGAGAGTTGGAAATGTTGGGGCCTCTGACAAGATTTGTGACGATCCAACGTGCGTGGTTGGACGACAGTTGCTACGAGTACGCGAGGAGTGGTGATGGGGTCATGTTGGCAGGCCTGCAGGAGTATGTGGCTGGAGACGACAACCGCTATGTCCTGTACAACACAGATAGCAGTGCATGCTGCAGCGCAAGGCCATTTCGACGTGGTGTCTCAGGGCTCGGGTTGGCACTGGACCTCTCAAGGGTTTGGAGGCAGCCGACGCAACGGGGGTTTAGAATTGCTGCGGTGGTGTCGAAGCGCTGCGGCGTGGTTACTGCGGACTTCTGTAGTCAATGCTTTGATGTGGAAGGGTGGGGGGGTGTAATTGAGCATGCCGCGGGTGCTGGGCAGGTGGAGATGGTCCTGTGGTGCCTCGAGAATGGATGGGAATACAGTGGATGGGAATACAGTGAGGCTATCATGCAGTCGGCTGCTAGCGAGGGACGTTGGGATGTCGTGAGGGCGCTGGAGAAGAGGGCGTTGATGGAGAGGGGGTACACATGGGTGGGAGAGATCGGCGAAAGTGCCCGAGCGTACGACGAGGGAGTCATGATTTGGGACAAGGAAACACACCACCCTGTGAGTGATGTTTTTTTTTGGTCATTTCCAGTCGGTGCATCATGTTTTTTTGGGAAGGGGGGTTGGTGCCGCGTGCATGGCGTTTGTGGTGGTTGTGCTTCGTGGTAATGTTGTCCGAAGGCATAGGGGCAGCTTGATTTGACTGCACAGCTGCTGGGCCGTGTTCGACGCGGGGGCGGGCAGGCGGCTTGTATGATTTTTTCTCTTACGACGGTCACTCTCGTTGAAAATCAACACGCAAGGTCTTTCCAAAGACAGGTTTGCATGCGATAATAGCACAAACAAGTCGACGGGCGACGAAAGAAACACCATTTGCTGGGCCTTCTATCGATGTCATGCAGATCAGCAAAGCGAGACAGAAGTAGTGCTCCTCCCAGCCAACGCTCCCAACGACCCACTGCAACGGATAACAGCAGTGCGTGCTTAGATTCAGTGCGNGTGATTTTTTCTATTACGACGGTCACTCTCGTTGAAAATCAACACGCAAGGTCGTTCCAAAGACAGGTCTGCATGCGATAACAGCACAAAAAAGTCGACGGGCGACGAAAGAAACACCATTTGGTGGGCCTTCTATCGATGCCATGCAGATCAGCAAAACGAGACAGAAATAGTGCTCCTCCCAGCCAACGCTCCCAAAGACCCACTGCAACGGATAACAGCAGTGCGTGCTTAGATTTAGTCCGATTAACACGCTCTCCTCCCCCCACCCCTTAACAACCCGTCGTGGGTTCTAAAGCGAAGCCCCCCCTGCTTGTGGTGCGTGATCTTCTCCACCTCTAGTTGCTGCTTGAAGAAGACCTTCGTGCTCTCCAAGACGCGATCGATGCCGTCCAGAGTAGCGACATCTCGGATAAGGACAACCATGTCTTTTCCGAAGGAGACACCGTTCGCGTAGGCGGCTGTTTTCACGTTCGTGCTTGAGTGGGACGTGTCGTCGGCGTTGAGGTTGAAGGGCGGCATCTGCACGGGACAGTGGGCGGCGTCGAGGTCCAGCATGGCAGGCTTCGCGGCCAGCCCCTCCAACGTCCATGGCGTGAGGCTGTCACGCCTCCGGGGCGCAATAGACGCTCCGTTCAACGTCTTGTGGCCGGTGTCGAACATGGACTTCAAGCCATGCGAGCAAGGCAGGCCATAAACGAGCTGTCTTAGACACGTGCACAGGGAGAAGCCATCCGGCCCGATGGCGACGAGGTGACCGGACTCCTCTCCATGCAACGGGGTGACGCGAATCAGGTGGTGGACGGCCTGGTCACGAAGCAAACCCGCGAAGTGAGATACTGGCGCACGGCTCGCCATGTGCACACCAGCGGGGGCGTTGGTCGGTTGTGAAGGGTCGATGAACTCTTCGCTGTTGGTGTCGATCATCAGGTTCACCTTCGTCAGACCTTCAACGAAAACGTCGAGTAGCGCCGCACGTCCGCCTCACCAGTCGCGATAATCTTCGTTTTGTGCAACACACACGCGTCAATCATGACCCCAGCGTCCTGAAATGTATGGTGGAGCCACGGGGACGGACGGTCCGCGAGACGGGGGGGGGGGGGGGGGGGGGGG